AGTGTTCTTGTTCACTACAATATGACTGTTGTTAGTTACTGAGATTCAGCATATAATACGATTCAACCTTAACAGTAAAAAAAGGTTAACAATCTGAATGACCCAACACACAAAATGCAATGACATTGGCATAACTTATAAATCAAATGAATCTCCAAAGAAAAACTTCAACTCCATGACAAACGATTCATCTTTCGTGTCTTATCAGTTTTGAAGTCAGATCTGTGTGATATGAAATTGAAAATGCTACAAAATAAGTATCTAAGTTCAATTACATCTATGTATCAATAAATAAAAGGCTTTGTTTCATATTCAACGGTTGTACACTGTAAAATGAACATTCACCTACTGAACAATTGGTTTACCTATAATTCAATGAATACAAAGTGTTATTTCCCGTGGAGATTTGTGAATGGTAACTTTTGAGAACTATTTATGGACAAATATGGTGCATATATTCCCTATTGTATAATTGTTAAGTAACTCAACTATTTGTATTCGTGTTCCTCTTATCATAAGCTGTATTTTGACCCATAGAGTATTACTATACGATTTACCATTCTTTAGTTATTATTTATTTATTTATTTAAACACATATATATTGGTACAAAAGGGCACCAGGTACATATGCGCCACACAAAATAATGAAAGCAGGAAGAGAAGGGATGAAAAGATAAGGCGGACTGAAATGTACAACCAGAAGACTCTTTCAGTTAAGAAAGTTAGAACCATTCTTTATGTAGAAAGTAAAAGAAGGTTGCAGCAGGATCGCCACTGGCTTCTATTCTGAGCCATATCTGATAACGTCTCTAGCCACTGTGTTGCACCATCTCTCGGACCCCAACCAGGGAGTCGTGAAGGACCAACGGAAGCTAGCCCTTTGCAGCTTTCTTTCATACCACGACACCATGTCATACACTGACCACCTCTCCGCTTTCTCCAACCAGTCCCAGAGTCGGCAAATAATGCACGACGTAGAAGTCTCTGGGACGACATCCGTAAAACATGTCCAAGCCACCGAAGTCGGTGTTTCAAGAATGTGACACCAATTGAATTATCGTCTCTGCGCCCGAACACACGATGCCGAACCTCTGCATTACTAACATGGTGTTGCCACTGTATGTCAGCGATCCTTCGGAGACAACGATGATCGAACACAGAGAGACGTCTAACATCCTCAACTCGGAGAGGCCAGGTTTCACAAGCATAGAGCAAAACTGCTCTCACCGACGCGTTGTAAATCCGACCTTTTACAGCCAGACTAACATCACGAAGGCGCCAAAGATGGCCGCTCTGGCTTTCATTATACGTGCATCAATCTCATCACTCACGCCACCACCAGCACTTATATAGCTACCTAGATACACGAACTTCTCAACTACTTCAATCTGCTCACCATCCAGGGTGAGTACAGGATGAGAATCCTGCCAGTCTTGTAGGAGTACTTTGCACTTGGAGGGTGCAAAGCACATGCCGTACCTGCGGACACTGATTGCCAACTGATTAAGTGCGGATTGCATGGCTTGGGCATTATCGCACAGTAAGACAATATCATCCGCATACTCGAGGTCGAGAAGTCGTTCTCCAGGCAACATATCCACACCGCCATTACTTACATCCATCAGAGCTGTTTCCAGGATGTCATCGATGGCAAAGTTGAAGAGGAATGGTGAGATCGGGCAACCCTGCCTAACCCCACTGCTTGAATGAAACAAGGGAGAAAGGTGGTTGTATGCCCTCACTGTACCTGAGGTGTTCGTATACAGGGCCTTTAAGATGTTAATGAACTTCTCAGACACACCCTTCTTCAATAGACAATCCCAGAGAACAGTCCTGTCCAACGAATCGAAGGCAGCCCTGATATCACGAAACACTACGATTGTTGGCCTGCGATAAGTATGACGGTGTTCTAACATTTGACGGAGGGTGAAGATGTGATCAATGCATCCTCGACCAGAACGAAAACCAGCCTGCTCCTCGCCAGTCAATCGTTCTCGGGTTTTAAACAACCTACGAAGAATGATAGAAGCCAATAGTTTGGACGCAATCGAAAGTAGACTTATCCCCCGATAGTTATTGCAGGAACAACGTGAACCCTTTTTAAAGAAAGGGGCGACTATCGACTCATTCCACGATGTTGGAACACTTTCTGACTCTCAAACCCTTGTAAACAGCATAGTCAGTTCCTTAGTCAGAAAGTCACCACCATCTTTAAAAAGAGCTGGAGGTAAGTCATCTGGGTCCGGTGATTTGTAGCGCTTCAGGAGTTGGAGTTCCTTGCACACTTCCACCTCCTTTGGTGGATCAATCGTCACCGGCCATGGGGGGCAGGAAAAACTGGTTGATGTTGCCGGAGCAGCAGGCCAGTTGAACTGCCCTTCGAAAAATTCCGCCCATCGTCCAAGACGTCGAGAGATGTTAGTGATTGGCATCCCATCATCCTCGTAGATTGTTTCACTCACACCAGACTTCTTGCTGCCAGTGGCTCAAATGAGTTGGAAGAGCTTCCGGCAGATTTCGTTTGTGGTCAAACTCACGGTCACTCGGAGTAGACCGACAGGCTTCCATCAGTTGTAAGGAGCCAGAAGAAACCCAGTGCTTGTAAGCGGGACGTTTGGCGAAGCCGCAAGCGGCTTTACTCGCCATTTTCATGGCGTCGTGAAGATGCAACCAATGCTCATCTATACTTTTCGGTGGGGTGTTAGCTAGCCTAGAGGCTAGCTCCGCTCGATACTTACTTGCAACAGATGTTGCAGCCAGTTTACTAACATCGATCCGTTGATGTCGGTCAATCCTTCGGCCACTGAAAAGTAAGGTGAGATTGGCGCAGACCAGGGCATGATCGGACTCCGGTTAGGTACTCCAAAAGGAGCGGCAGTCTTGTACATAACCACGCCAGCGGTAGCTGATCGCGACGTGATCAATCTGAGTCTCCGGCTAATACTACAATATCTGTCGAACGCGCTTTCTGGAGAAGAACTGTTAACCGATGGTAAAACTCATCCTTGATTGCATCCGGGCTGCAATCTGTCGAGGCATAGGCGGAGATGACGAAAAGACACTGTTTCTCAGGCCGGTTTCTTCTCACTTTGATGGAACTTTCTAACCTAACAGCACATAACCGACTGTTAATGGGGATCCAATCGATTAGTGCTGCCTCAGCCCTAGCGCTTAGTGCAACACCAACGCCTGCAAGAACAGACGAAGATGCCACAGAATCCCCGGATAAGCGCACGTGAAACAAGCTTTTCGAGGCGACAGATGGAGAGCGAATTTGTAGTACTTCACTACAGTCTTGAATACGGGTCTCGGATAGACAGCAAACATCAACATTAAGACTTTCTAAAGACAAAGACAGCCCCATCTGTTGTCCAATCTGCATTAGTGTGCGAACGTTGAAGGAAGCCAGCTTGAACGTCGTACGTGGTTTCAGAAAGACTGCTTCAGTATTCGTAATCGGTGGAAGCATTTACTTTCAACCAGACAGTGACTGGAGATCGTTTAAATAGGACAGAGTTTCCACCATGGGCGAGCTACTGCATAAGTTGGAGAGGAAGGATACACAATTTGGGAATAAAGGGAGTGAAAAAGCGACGTAGTAAATAATAATAATAATAATAATAATAATAATAATAATAATAATAATGTAAATTGTCTTGCTTCTAGTATGAGCGAGAATAGTATCGTCAATAGAATTCATCATTTCATTTATTTGTGTGTGGGCTGTGATACTGCCCGGGTGCCCAAACCGAAGCAGGGTTCTTTAGTTATCCCCAGTCTATTGAATAATGTTCCTCCTATTCACAGCCACATTTGGATAAATCTTGTACAAATGTTATTTTTTATTTTATGGTACGATGTGATCAGTTTGTTTGGTATATAAACCCCAGTATGTTTGAGAATAATGATTCATATTACAGAGGCTGTTATTGGTGTTCTGGACTTAACTTGCTGGGCTAGACAGATAGCAGGACTGATAAGTACTCAAGACTGATCATACGGTTTTGTGTATCACTGGCTGTTCTCTGATAGGCGGTCATATCACATATATAATAACAGGGCACTCTGTCAATCGATATATCACAAAGTATGGTAATCAAACAAGCACCGTTTAGTCTTGATTGATTTGAGAAACATGTTTTAGCTCATCAATTACCTAATTAAGTAGTATAAAAATTTATGATTATTGTTATCATGGCAACCAGAATATATTTATATAATTGAAAAACTAGATTCCTTTTCTAGACACATGTATTGCAAGCAGAGACAGTGTAAGCATACAAATACAACAAATGTTTTGCATAGTGAATTGCTTCATTAATTATCTACATAACACATAACTGTATACATATCAATCCATCAAAAGCTTATTCATTTATTATGCGTAGGCTTAATTCATTCATGTCACCTTTTACTCAAACTATGTCAGTTGAAAATAAAAAAAGAAATAACACAATTATCTAGGGAGTCCTATTGAAAGCCTACTGTAATACAATAATAAAATATAGACGGGATTCAGTGTGTAATTAGTTAACTAGAATAGCGTTTCCTGGAAGAGAACGAAACTCTTGAAGCGATCCCTTACAATATCGTTTAGTTAAGAACTATGAATTTGCCAATACTTGGACGACATTCAACAAAACTAATCGTTTTCTTCAACTGTATTTTCATTGTAAGTGAGATGTTCATTTCTGTTATGTTCAATTCATTCTTTATTATTATGTAATATAGACATTTGGCATTATTGTGATTGCATTCGGTATGAAACTACCAAGTAAACTATTTGGATATAAGAGGATAATGCAAGCAACCATACCTCCCATCTTTCCAACGGCTACATTCTCAGGAAGTCTCAGTATATTAGCTGCATGTATTGGTATATTAGGAATATTGAATGAATGACCCATGATTATATATCTGGTAACAAGTGAAATATTATTGCATATGGTGTATTTCTATTCCATATTTACGTTTAGCATCTGTTTGCTCTGACTATTGTAATGCTTATTGAAATAGGCATAGCAACATCATCCACGTTAATGAAAGATCAAGTGAGTTCAAATCCGACTTCGCCCAATGAATCTTAATCAATTTCACGTTGACAGTTCTTCACTGAAGCTCATCGTTCGTTGAATATGAGTGTTCAAAAATATTGGACAAATCTTTGTTATCAAATAGAATTCGATAATTTACAAATAAGAGTAAGTGAATAAAACATCGGTAGATTTGTTAATTCCTTTAAATATAGTTTCATTGTTGTGGTGCAGATTCATCTAATGATTATCTCCACGTCAAACAACTAATACCGACTTCATGTTTATCTGGAAGAAAACCATATTTACTGGTAAGTAAATATTGGATTGTTGTAAAACACTCACTTGCGTTCTCTTTATTAAAACAAGATGATCTTAAACTAGAACTAAAGACACTGTCACCCCTTCGACTGCTGTTGTGCAAGGATATAGTTCCTTCTGAACTCGAACATAGGATCAAAGTAGAATCCGTTATTGACTTGATAGCTAGTGAAGTCACCAAGCGAATAATCTCTCGAAATAATGTGATTATATATAATATACCGGACAAAGTTGCCATTAAAACTGTAAGAAACTCGATACTAAAGGCAGCTAATCTCTAGGATAGTCCATGCCAATGTATCCGACTTAACAAAAAGCATCAAAAATACTCGTGCCCTATCGTGTTTAGATTCGATTCTCATTTATTAGCGGAACGTTTGAAAGAATCTGAACAGCTAGTCTGTGTGCATACGAAGTTCAACAACGCTCGTATAGTCTCGGACAAAACCATCAATAAAAGACTAAGGCAAAATCATACCATGAACGAAAATAACATTATTGAGGTCACAACAAATGTGATCGCGCCAGCAGCTGAACCCACTGGTGCAGCTAATCTACCTCATGTTAGTCAGTTTACTGATATACCAATGCAATGTGCTAATTTGCATCTCATACCCATAGTGGCCCTAGATAACCAGGACATATCTGATGTAGACTCTAATGTCATTCTTTCCAGTGTAATATCGGAAGCCAAGGATCGAACACCTGATTCTATTGTGAAGGCTCATAAAAACACTGCTAAACCTAAAAAGAATATACCAATTAAAAAGAAAGTAAATAAAAAACCTTCTGGTTCTAGACCGAATACCGAAAATATTTCAACGGCCTTACCAAACAACAGTATAATTTCTGAAATCATGCTTAACCCTACTCACCGTAAGGGAGGTTATAAGGACACAGTTCGTTCAAACGTTACACGAGACGGCCACTACAACCATCATGTAAGCAGGCCTACTATTAGACAGACGGCAATGTACCAACGTGCCGCCTGGTTTCCCCCATATGTTATAAATAATAAACCTGCAAGATATAACTCTCATCATCACTCTCGCAGTGGGGAAGGTGGTATACTAGATTATGCACCATCAACGCAACCTCAACATGCAGGCACCTGTCTTAATTGTCCACCAAAACAAGTACAACAAATTATTCAACCTTACCAAAATAAGGATTTTTTCTTCGGCCTCCAGAGATCCCTTGTTCCACTAGCACTACAATTCGCTCATGCTATAGCCCATGCGATCCGGAAAACACATTAAACCATAGTCCGGGCATAGCTAGAACTCATACCTTCGATAAGGATGCTCTCGGTTTTTTTACACTACACTCTCCCTTTTTAAACTTATTACTTATTAACGCACGTTCACTTTTGAACAAAATTTCGGCCTTGAGAACCTTAGCCTTTCTAGCCAAGCCTTCTTTTATACTTATCACTGAAACGTGGTGTAATCCAGCAGTAGCCGATTCCGAATTAAATATCTAAAACTATTGACTCTATCGCTGTGACAGAGAAACTAAGCGAGGAGGCGGTTGTCTTATATTTGCTTTGGATACCTTGACAACTAACAAAGTTGAAGATAGTATGTTGAATAGTTTACCAGAATCGATTTGGATATCAATCAATACCCTAAATCATGATCTACTCCTAGGTTGTATATATCGAGATCCTGATAGTACTGATAATTTGAATGATCTTATTATCAATGCATTTATACACGCATCTACTCTAAACTTTAGTGCTAAGATTATCACTGGCGATTTCAATTATCCTGGGATTAACTGGAGTACCAGTAGTTGTCAGTCTAGCAATGATGAATTTTTATCAATCCTTAATCTGTAATGCTGGTCACAGTGGGTTCGTACCCCAACAAGGGGTGATAATACGCTTGATCTAATATTTAGTAGAGATATCATTCCCCTATCTGTACATGTATACAACGAGTTTGAAAGCAGTGATCATAGGATAGTAGCTTGTGCTCTCCCCATCCATCCCTCCTACAACCGACCAATTCAAAGAACCTGTAATTATAAAGACTATAAGCATGCAGACTGGGACATCTTGCGCTCACTGATCAAACTGTCAGACTGAGTTGAATTCTTCTCATGTAATAGTCAGACAGATGCCATCAACATATTCTATTTCATTGTTAACTCTTGTCTAGACTCCTGTGCACCAATTAAGACTTACAGGATTAGTAAACATTACGAATTATATATACCAGCTTAATATCGTAATAAACTAAGATGCCTAAAGAAACGTTATTTTAAATCTAACGACTTCACGGCAGTCACACAAATAACAATAATTTTTAACCAAATTAAAGAGAAACATAAGTTAAAAGCCATCAATGAAGAGCTATTAGCACTACGTACTAGCTCAAAAGTGCAAAACCTAATCCACATTTAAAATAAACGTGCTAAATCAACTCAAAATGTTGATATACCATGCATCCTGCATAATAATAGTTTTATATATGACCCAAAAACTATAGCAGACCTTTTCAGTGGTAATTTTGTAAATGACAAAGAATCCATAAATGGCTGTTTCTAAAGTTATATGTATGACTGGTAACTCAATTAAATCTATCTTCTTCACATTTCTGAAAATTATTAAGGTTATAAATAACCTCAAGGTTTCTAAAGGTCACGGAGTAGACGGGATTTCATCATTTCTCTACAAACATGGTGGTCCAGATATTCCACTTCTCCTTAAGCTGTTTACTCTCTCTATGGAATCAGGCTCTTATCCTGACCGTTGGAAAACCGCGTACATCATACCACGTTACAAATTTGGAGATAAGACTGACATGAACAACTATCGGCCAATAAATATTACTCCAGTTATCTCTAGGATTATGGAAAAAATTATTAGTGACGAAATATCCAACTATTTATTGACTGAACAATTTATTCATGAGTCGCAACATGGATTTCTTAAAAATCGATCTTGTATGACATGTCATTTTGACTTCTTTAATTTAGTCTATTCGCTTCGTAGCCAAGGATATCTAGTATTAGTGCTATACCTGGACATTTCTAAGGCCTTCGACATGGTCAACCACCAACTTCTCATAGGTAAACTCGCATCTTATGGGGTCCAAAACCCGTTACTAGCCTGGTTTGATTCCTTCCTCAGCAATCGACATCAAATAGTTAAAATCAACTCTTCATTGTCGAATGCCGTCCCTCTTAGAAGTGGGGTAATTCAGGGTAGTGTCTTAGGTCCTTTGCTCTTTATAGTTTTCATTAATGATATTTGTGAGTGTTTTAGTGTGGGTAAGTCCCTTCTATTTGCAGACGATCTTAAGGTGGTGTACTCATTTTCCCTACATCAGCTGAGCAATATTCAAAATTGTATCAGCACGGAGCTTAACAAGGTAGCACAGTGGTGCTCGAAATGGCAACTGGAGCTCAATACAACTAAATTTGGATGGTTATGCTTCGGTGATACATCGCTCAACCTCGATCTTACCATAAATGGTGAAGTGTTATCTAGGTTACACACAGTAGTAGATCTAGGACTTAGGTACTCCGACGACATGTCGTTTACTCAACAGATAATGAAACAAACGTCCAAGTTTCAACGCCTTATAGGTCACATAACTCGAAACCTTCATAACAGTGAATCTCGTATTCTAATGTACAAAGTCTGTGTTCGACCACTCCTCGAATACTGCGCGTTTCCCCTTAGTAGCACGCGCATAGAGGATAAATTAAGACTGGAATCAGTACAGAGACGATTTACACTTCGTACTCTTGGAACTGATAGTGTCTTGACATATAATTCTAGGTGTAGTAAACCAGGGCTTGACCCTTTATGGATGAGGAGACTCAAACTTAACCTTATCTTCTTTTTCAAAATACTTAACAAACTCTCCTTCACATCTAGTCAGGCGATTCAATATGCTAAAGCCCCACATTACAACATTCGTAACTCCTTGTCTTTAGCCAAACAAACATATTCTAGATCTTCTCTCTATATGAATTACTTTACCTGTAAGTTTTCTAGACTCTGGAATAATTTACCCCAAACTATGTTTAACTCTCTCCCATTGTTTGTTCGCTCAATTAATGCTTTTTGCTCCTCTGAAAATGCATTAAATGCTCTAGCGCCTGCAAGTGTATCTTACTCCACAAGTGAGATTATAGGAACTTTAAATGTTTAACCTCTTACTTGCTATCATTGTTTTGTTGTTCCGTGCTCTTTGCTTTATTCTTACTTTCTCTAGTTGTAGATAATCATCAATAACTCGCTCTGGCACTAGAAATAACCTTAAAGAACAATGTTGAATAATCTTCAGGCTATCCACTTAAGAAAAAATGAAAAGTTCTCTGGTGTTGCATTGGCTTGCCATATATAACCTAAACCAGCAAACATAAAACTGTCTTATATTTCATGTTTTCTCTCTACATTAAATGTTAATTTTTATATCAATCTGATGATGCCTGTAAACTGGTGTGAATTGTGTAAATATTATTTTCAGAATATATTATTATTATTATTATTTAAATACATATGAAGCCATTTGAAGCTCTCTGTTTAGAAGAGATATTCAACATAGATAGAGTTCCGAAGTAATGCTTGACGAGACATCTCTGCACGTTACTGTCAACAAATATAGAATGATATCCGTGCTACAATAACCAAGTTATGTCCATCGTTTGAACTATCCAGTTACATTAAGATTTAACAAGCTTCGTTCACATTCATAGTACATTCTATTTACAACAATTCGATTGGTCATAATTACATAGTAAATTACTATTGTTTTCACAGTTATCTGGAACCGCCTGACGATTTTTCATTTGTAATGTATAGTCTGAAGTTTACAGATGCTGAAAATAGACATCCTGAGAACCTCACTTCATTGTTACGTATATTTATCTTGTTTTTTTTATTTTTCTGAACTTGATTTAATGTATATTCAAACAAATATGCTATGACGAAAAGATCATCCAGTTCTGTCAAGTTTTCAATGGTGGTCTAATATCGGTCGATTCATGATCTCAATCAAAACTCAACAACCTTCACAACTCTATACTGAAAATCCATAACCGTCAATTTATGAAGTAGGATATAGAGTAAAGACTGGAAAATAAGGCGCCATAGTAGAATGAAAGTTTATATAAAAATACTTTCAAGAGCAGTGTGGTGAGAGAGGCGTCATAATAAATTGAGATCAGGTATGTAATAGCAACTCATAAGTTTCATTGAGTTCTGATGTTGGAAATCAAAGCCACTATCAAAATTCATTTGATTTGAGTATATTGAACTAGAAATATTTTATATTTTCGGAGTAAAATTCTGGAAGAGTGAGAATAGACGTATGTGAAATTTTGGTTATTCCAAAAGAACAAATGGTATATATATGTATGTTTTCCATACTGGAGTATGTTTGCCGACGAACCCAACCATTCTGCTCTAGTTTCCTAACGAAGTGTATGTGGACAGTTAAAGTGTTTCATTCTAGTACGAAACAAATAACTGATGGTTTCCTTATTTTCATTAGTTGTTTAATTAAAGTCAGTCCATCGTGTAAACTACAAAAAGGACACTTTTCATACTTTCCGGAGATTTCTTTCAACAATACAAGATTTTATAATATACTTTTCGGTTTATTGCTGGTTCAGGCTTGTAGAAGTAGCTGCTATCCTAAGTGAGGTGTTACATACATCCACAGTGACTATAATTGCTGACTTCTTTAAGGCTTATGACATTCATATCTTAATGTCTGCCTTTCAAAGAAGGATCACATTCATCAATTTGGTCATTGAAAATATTCCAACTAATCACATCATAGACATAGTCGATACGAACGAATGAGTTATGTGGACATATTAAATGATTTTTTGATTCACTGTTCATATCTTACTCAATACAGCTTCATAAAGAATTAGATAAACGTGTTGCATAACATTGTGTAGTTTCTTTTATTTAACATATACAGGGATGTGTTAATGCATTGAATATACTTGTGCAATATTATAAAGTGATACTGATCTATTTATGCTTCAGTTTTGGAATCATTCATGGTGCTTACTTGCTTTTCTCATTTCTGATGATTTGTATATCTAAAATTGGAAAAATTGAATCACCAAAAACCTGTTGTTCAGATCAAACGAAGACTACTGATGAGGAATGAATTTCGGCCGAAATTTCGCATGAATAACACTTAATTATTGTTGTTAAAATACTATTAAACTGTCACGTGACATTTTTACTTGTCCCATAGACTTGTAACTTCAACATTTTGTCTACCATCTTACTTTAACTTACAATCCAAACTGTACACAGAATAAATTCATATTTAGTTGTCAATCTGATGATTATCTTTTTGTATCATCCCATCAAAATATCTTGATGGTTTACCAATAGTTAGTGTAGTAAATAAGTTATATTCGATCAAACTTGTGGAAGCTTCATCTCTACACCTATTAAAGACTGAAATACATTTCACTGTCATGATAGAACTACATTGATAGGATGGATTCGCTGAAACTAACCAATAGTTGTGATAGTAAATATCATAACAGTTGCAGCCCGCTTGAGTATCTCGGTTACCTGTTCCTGCAATCTAAATATTTTACCAAGTTATCAGTTTTACATAGTTGAAAGCGTGAGTCATTTGAAGCTAGACAACGAGGGAAAACCTGGAAGCACTGGACGGCCGTTTCGTCCTATTGTGGGACTCTGCTTCATCATAAGTGGAGGATGACTTTGACAAGGCTCAAGCACTATCAACCTATTTTAGCAATGTATATACCATAGAAACACCCTTCACAACAGTCCATGAAAATCCCACCACACAAACACTGAACAGCGTGACCATTAAATAACTCAATGTCTTTGGTCCACTAAAATAGCTTGACATAGGCAAATCCACTTGACTCGATGAACAGCACCCTAGGTTACTGAAGGAATAGGTTAACTTTGTTGCGAATCCTTTATATAATAATTTAATGATACGAGTATAGATGTGTAGTATGTGTAGTATGAAATGGAAAGCAATTGTTTTAAACAATAGCATTGTAATTGATAACAAATAGTGGATTTTTGTGTTTGAGTTTTCCAATGTTTTATTTAAATGTCAGGCATTGGAAATCATAATTTAGTACATATTGTAGACCATCAATTTTATTCAATGTTTATCGGAGGTGTTTCATTATAACACTGGTAACAATCATTATTGGTTAGAATAATTTTACTAAAAGTAACTGCCAAAGAAAGATTACTGAAGTCTGTATTCAATTACTTATTTATTTACACTCTTTACTTCGTGTGGAAAAGCATAGACCGATCATCACAATTCTCAAACCAACTCTATTTTCCACTCGAAACTTGACTGACAGTTGTTTTGAGTTCCACATGATCTTCAACTGTAGGAGTGACGGATTCTTGCCTTTATATCTGCATCAGATCCTCCTTGTTTATCGATGATACTGCCCAGAACATAAAACATAATCTTCTCTTGTTCCAGTGTTGTTGTTGATTTCTGTACTCCTGTTCCTCCTTTCTTAAAGCTTGTTCAGGGTTTCGATAGAGATTTATTCTTTATAATGATGCTTCTTGCAGTCCAGCACTTCCACATACGTTAAACATATTGCTTCTTTGATTTTCTTCCATTTGCTCTTCAAAGTGGTTTCTCCTTCATTTAGTGGATCGTGTAAGGCTAGGAATATGTTGTTGAGAGTTATCTTGAATCGGCCGAGTTTGTTGGTATCTCGAAGGAAGTCTGTATTAAGCTTTGGTATTGCTGTTTCTCGTTTTACCAGTGCTTCCTTAGCTACAGCTTCACCTCGGCAACTATCAGGTAGATGGTTATCTGAAACTATGTCGGTTTTCATGTCTTCTATTTACTTTCTGGACATTTTTTGGGTGATGCAAATATGATCGATCTGGTTTACGGAGATATGATCCGTTGATAATCACGTAGCTTTGTGTGGGAATATTGTGACACCCATCTCTCATGAAGCTGATCGATCCTGTCCGGCTTGAATGTAATGAGTTTTACATATTCCGAATGCTGTCAGGTTGTATTTCCTCATTTTCTCAGATATTTGATTGGTTCTCCTGGACTTACAAGTTGTCTGGACATTCCATATGCCTATAGTAATTGTTGCTCCGCATGTTAGAAATGGCATCAGTCTCGTGATTTCTGAAGAATCTTGACTTTCCCCATTAGGCGTCATAATTCTTCTTTCAACTCGGAAGACAGAGTTTAGACAGTTGAATTTGTTTATTCTGGTTATCAGTTTTATTTAGCAAGTTTCTTTTCTGCGGGATGGGTATGTTGACGCTATTTGTAACCTCCTAATTTATCGAGGCATGTAACTGACTGTTTCTGTATTAACATGGAAAATAAAATTCGCTCAAAATTCAATATACAACAATCATTTACTGAACAGTTAAAAAAAAGTAAATCAAAAACTAACTTCACTTAGATTACTTTTAGGAACTTTGTAGTGCTGGTAAGCTATTTTCTTTTATTGTATAGAGTGTTAGAATAATGTTACTAATAACAGAAGATAATATTCATGTTATAATGGAACTGCTTGAAGTTAGACATTGACACCGTTTAACGCCGGTTCCGTGGTCTAGGTGTTAAGCGCCCGAGCACGAGACCGATAGGCGTTCTGGGTTCAAGTCTAGCGAGGAAGGATCGTGGATGCGCACTGCTGTAGAGTGCCACAATAAGGTGAAACGACCTTCCAGTACTTCCAGGTTTTCCATGGTGATCTAGCTTTAATTGACTGATGATTTCAACTATACAATTACTAAAATCTCAACAAAACCCTCTTCTGAAATCAATTATTTACATTGCGAAATAAAAAGAGAGAGTTTTATTTAAAAGAACATTATTTGACATTAGTTCAATTACATAATCATTACCCATGTACTTAAATTATAACAACCATGGATAATTGAGAGAAGAATACATGTCAACTAATAGTATTTATGATGTAGAGATTGTTAGATGTCATATGAAATTACTTTAATCAATTATAATCCAAATTTATGTTAATGAAGATTGTTCCAGGATTTGGTGGTTGGTGATGTGAACGATATAATTGGTTAATTGCATTGTACCTTATCATCTTCATTTGATCATACCGACTGGTTCTATGACGTTACCTTTCCCATGGTAACTGACTTTTTAAATAAATAAATGGAGATAACCAAGTAAACACTTTTGATAATTCCAAATAAAAAGCATAAAGAAATCAAGGCAACTATATATTGTTGTAGATAATCATTGAATGCTTCCACACAACCCTAATAATATATAAAAACGAAGAAAACGAAGTAAGAAAGATGAAAGTAACGAGTTACATAATTACAAAGTAATATTGAAATGTTAATGATATTTAATTCCGTCTGTGGCTCCCCCGTGTGCTACTGCCGGTTCAAAGCCCGGATAAAGGAGGAGGGTTGGGCATGTGGTTAGCGACCCCATCCTGTAGAAAACTAACTCACTATAAAAACGCTTACCAGAAAACATTATTCAAACCATTTTAACTCTGCCTTGCGAGAACAAGGAACAATTATTACGTCTCATGATGTAAGCCAAAATTCTTCGGAAGTCACGATGCCGATGTCCCATCTAACAACCAGAGCAAATTTGTTTATGGGTACATGCAACGTCCGAACGATATGAGAGACCATGGGAGTCTTCCAAATTGCTGCAGAAATGAGTAAATATAACCTGTTGGTGTTTGCGATCAGTGGAACACATTCGACTGAGGTTCGACAACAACGACTATCTTCATGAGATGTTCTGTAATGCTCCGGCCATGACAAAGAAAATACTCCACATACACAAGGAGTTGCATTGATGCTATGCAAATAAGCACAATTAATTGAAATCATCTAAAACTCACAAAGAATATATTTTCGAACTGTACATCAATATCTGATTGGTTGATTCTATGTCTACTATCACAGAATTTAGGTCCCAGAGATAAAGCTTCTAGCTGTATTGCATCCATTTCGATATTGGAAAAATTATGTACGTACCATTTCAGTTCGGAAAGAAATTTCTTCCCTAGCTTTTGGTTTTCCAAAGTTTTCAATACTTTTGCCATCGTCTTCTCAGATCTATTCTTGGAAATTTTTTTTAACATAATCCATGAACATTAATTGAAGCTCAGAAGGCACATTTTCAACGGAATATTGGGAATCTTTGAAATTCTAGAATACATTTTCACTATTCATTATACCTTTATACTGATATTCACAAATGTGTTACACTTCATAAATCTAAACAGTGATTATACTAATTGAGTCTCGACACTTTAGTCAACGGTATCAAAACTTTAAAAATTATATTTGACACTAATCGATAATATGATGCGATGAATACTTGAACAACAACAAAATCCATGAAAATACAAAATGAGAAGTACCACGGAGTCAAACCGTTCATCTGAAAACACGAGTCCAGAGATAATGTTATAAGAGGAATGGTTGTATTATGTAACATTAATAGTTTAAACATAACACTAACTACATGTCAACCTGTTCCGGTGACAACAAACTTCTCATCCCGACTGAATAGGTCGATTTAGTGATATCTAAATTCGGCTGAAAGACTATAATGAAACTACAATGTGATTTCTTTCAAGATCGCCACAAAAGTCTGGATGATAATTTAGTTTTAATAAAACGTCAAGATGATCTCTATACACAATTCATATCATAAATAATTCAGAACTTACTGGTGCATAAACTAATTTACCAACAATACAGGAGGATGCCACCTTTATTTTTGATTTTATATAATCCTCATACGACATAGATCCACAACAACCGAACTATTAAAAGAAAATGAAATGTAAGTATGTTTATGGAGCATTATTGAAACCAAATGTTTGATAAACAACTTACCTTTCTCTGCAGTTTATTCATTTCCATTTGAAGATAAGGGTTTGTGTAAAATTGTTTCACAGCGTTTATCACTGAATGATTAGCGGCTGTTTGAAACTGTTCAACACAAAAACACAAATAATTTCAACATGCTCATATTATACATTCAACCAACTTTTTCTCCAGATGTAACCGTCATTGTGGCTATGGAAATCTCTACTATCACTGCAAGACATAAACATGCAATGTGCTATACACAAGTAAAGAGAACAGAAGAATATCATGTTGGTTGATAGAAAAGACAAATGATTCAATATTTACCAGTATGATAATGAACTGTTTCGGTTTCCAAAATCCAATGTATCCAATAATTGTACCTACTAGAATGAGGCATCCTATGAAGATTACTGTTGGAATGATGAGTGGTGTTAACCCATTGAAAATTTTGGCGAATTCGTTCATTGTTTCAAGTGCTTTGATGCCTAACACAAGAAGAACAATGCCAAATATCTTGAATGGGAGACTTGAACAAAGTAGATTGACTTACGACGAAACAACTGTTCAACAGAATGAACAATTTATTCCAAAATTGTTGTGATATTGACAAATTCATATTCATCGACAATATGATTTCGAATACGATGTACGAAAGTGATGACTGCAATAAACAGAATTGAGATTCAACTTTTCTATATCCTGTTGTTTGCAAAATAAGCAAATTGATTCTAATGCAATGCACATTGAATCCCAATTATAAACTGTCTGTGTTGCACTGTTTGCTCAATAGTAACTCATACACATTCGACTCAATTGTTCTGAAATTGTAAGTTGTCAAATCATGGTAAAATATTTTTGGAGTCAGATGAATTGAGAATATTCAATTTTACACATGTGCAATAATTGTGTTGTTGTTGTTGTTGTGTTGGTGTATATGTCAGTCAGATACATTTGTCATATCAAACAATGTGAGACAATTTTGCTTGTATTAAGTACGCATATTTCTCTCATTATGTATGATACAATGAGATGAATCAGTGTATACAATCTTGTCATTAGTTAATATAGCATCAACAAATCAGATAGTGAACAATTGGTGAAATGAAATACCAAAATGTAATCTGACTGAAATTATATTATCAGCTTTGAATTCAGTAGTATGCAAGTAAGTTGCAGAAGTGTTTGCAGTATTCTCATGAACAGTTATCATGGTTTGGATTATCAAAGTGGTGCAAAAGTGATAAGTGACTGAAGAATATTTATCGATTTCATAGTGAGAAAATCTATGTTCGGTTAACTTCAAGACGTGTGACTGGTTGAAATGTATGTGGAGTTTGGTTCAATCACCCAAGTGGTTTATTTGTGAACCTTTCTCTGTCCTATTCCATAATATCATGAGCACAAACTTCAAATAGAAGTAAACTGTTCGTATGTCTTCACACATGATGAGCAGTTTGTGTTTCGGAGTGTTTTCAACCTCAATAAAAACCACCCAATAACAAGCTGCAAAGTTATTCGAGTCTAATTTTCATTCAAAATATCGAAAACACCTACAACGTAGGAAAATGCTTGGTGATTGTTTGTCGCACGAACATCCTTTCATCCAATTCTTTCAAGTGATATCCACAAAACAAATCGTCAGAAATTAATTAAGGTCCAAAATCAAATATATCACCCTACTACCGATATAAAGCATATCTGGAGTGATTAGGTTGTTACAGTCATTGGAATAATCACAGAGCGCACACCAAAACATACGCCTCGATCAGCCTTATCCAAACGAAAAAATGTCACGACATTTCATGATAGTTGTCACTTCATATACAAAACAGATTGCATCAACTACGACAAATACTAGGTCAGACAAGGAAACCTTTCTCCTCATTTTCGTTTTCGAGAACATCAATATGCTGTCAATGATCATGATGTATATTCGCTCATTCCATACATGTTCACACACTGGCCAACGGATCCGAAGTATTTTGCGTAGACAACTGTTAATAGACACTTGTATCTTCTGGATGATGGCTTTCGTCGTTCTCCAAGTTTCCACTATAATTTTGAATTGTTTTTTGAAATTCGCCGAACCTATGGAGGTCAAATACCCAAAGCCTGATGTATGTGTTCAAAAAAACAGTAAAACATCTTTCCTTTCCCTTGTGACATCACATTCTTTTTATTGCGTCATTCATTATTTCAAATCTTCCTGAAGTTTTGATTACGTCATTTTTAACTTCCGTTAACTCCTTATTGACTGATTTCTACTCATATCTTTCTTTATTATCATTAATGCGTTTAAACCTTCCTGGAATCTCTTTTGTAGCTACTTTCGGTTCAAAACGTAGATAAAGGAGGAGGGTTGTGCATGAGGTTAGGCAATCTCGTAGAGAACCGGCCTGCTAAAGAACGCCAAACAGAAAAAATAATTCAAACAATCTAAACTGTGCATTGGGAGTTAGACGATCTCTATTTATTTATTTAGTTATTACATCTCATGATGGAAGCCGAGTTCTTTCGAAAGTTACGAGGCTGAGGCCCATTCTGACATTCAGAGCAACCATTGATTTAAGTACATGGAAAAATGATTACAAATCGAGCTTATTATAAACAAGATAAATATGCAACGAATAGAATGAAGTTTTGAGTGAACAGAATATCAATGATGTTTCATGTTTTTAGGACATTCAGTAGGAATGCGTGTTTGGTCTCAGTATTTTTGCAGCCAGAATGTCAGCGTGATATAAAAAAAATTAATGATCTACATGTTAATAAAATATAAATCAGTGATCGGTTTGAAGCAAAATGAATAGTCAATCATGTTGTAGTTCAGCATGGAAATTCATCTCATCTCTCTGTTGATAATTATGAGAATGTGAACGAGTAGAAATTTATAAATCATACATATGCTTTGTATTTGTTGTCAGTAGTGTGAAAAGTGTTTGTTAGAAAATAAGAGCAATTGACCAATATCAATTGAGGATTGGTTTCGTTAGCTATGTATGACTTCCCTTTCTAGACAATCATAGAGTGAGTCAGCATACAGTTTAAAAATGACGTCAGGCACTTGCTCAATAACGTCATCTGGCAGCAACGAATTTACGTAACTAAATCTCGTGCTCTCACTTGTGATTCTATTTGCGACATAAACGCTTTCTATGTGTGCAAATCAGAGTTCTGCCTCTCGAAGTTTTAAAGCAAGTAGAGGTACAGAGATGGCACACATGGAAAAAGACTTCGATGATAGGCTTGATGAATCATCAGGTAACATGATACAAATAAATAATGCTAGTAATAACAATAATAATATTAAGCCGTGGATTGAAATATACAATATGAAGAAATAATCAATAACAACAAGGAACATATATGAGAGACTCACCGACAGAAACAAGCTGTCACTTTGGGTTCAAATATGTGAATTGTTAACAATTGTAACAGTAATTCCAATGTGAAGTTGTTTATAATATGATTGGTGAATATGCAGCAGACTTGTAGAGAAATGGTGCGTGTTCCAAATGCGGCTCACCAACTACGTAGAGCATCAATTCTCCTCCTCTATATTTGACTCCAATAAATAAATAATATCCCGTTAACCGAATATTTAATGCAGGCTAAATCTCCCAGTAGAATGATGGATTTACTCGAGATGATTCAAAAGCTTGAACACCAGTTATGCAAATGGCTTATTGTTGAAGTTTGGTTAGGATCCGCAAGTGTACAGATAGCATGCACACAGGGAAATCAAGTGAGTGAGTGAGTGTGTGTGTGTGTCAATGAGTGTTAAAACTCCATATATATAATTATGAGTGTTAATGGACTATGGGTAAATTATTGATCATCTTTGCATTCAACCAATGAGAGAATAGATTGGTGATGGATATGCAGACACATGCGGTCAATCAGGCTCACACATAAATTTACAAAGTGGATTAAATGTCTAAATTGATGAGAACACACAAATAATACACTAGATGAATGTTCTTGTTACAGATGTACGAGATTGATGGAAATAATAAATTGTTCCGTGGAACATGCCATTTAAGAGGCGGTCGGACTGTGATTGTGATAAAATTTCGGAGACGGACGTGTGTGTGAGGAATTCTTTGTAACTCAATGGTATACTGTTTCTAGGCTCACACAAAAATTTACAAAGTGGATTAAATGTCAGACAAGGCTGTCTACTTTCTCTCTTCCTCTTTCTTTTCGCGGCCTCAACATACACAAAGGAAAAAGCAAGATCCTCATATACAACAATGGGAACACTTACTCAGTCACACTTGATGGAGATACTCTGGAAGATTTGAAAACATTCACGTACCTGGGAAGCATGACTAATGAACATGGAGGATCTGATGCAGATGTAAAGGCGAGGATTGGGAAAACAAGGACAGTATTTCTACAATATGGAACTCAAAATAACTGTCAACTAACTTCAAAGTAACTCCGCCTGTAGCTCCTCTGGGGGTTACTGCCGGTCCCAAGCCCGGGTAAAGGAGGAGGGTTGGGCATGGGGTTAGCAACCCCATCCCGTAGAAAATCAACTCGCTAAAATAATGCTAACCAGAAAAAATCATTCAAACCTTTCAAACTCTGCCCTCCGACTTGAAGGAATAATTATGACGTCTCGTGATGAAAGCCGAGTTCCTTCGGAAGTCATGAGGCCGATGCACCTTCTTACAACCAGAGCGACAATTTTTATAGGTAGATGGAATGTCCGAACAATGTGGGAGACCGGAAAAGTCTTCCAAATTGCTGCAGAAATGAGAAGATACAACCTGAAGGTGCTTGGAATCAGTGAAACACATTGGACGCAGGTTGGACAACAACGACTGTCTTCAGGAGAACTTCTGTTATACTCCGGTCATAAAGAAGAAAAGGCCCCACATACACAAGGAGTTGCATTGATGCTGTCCAGAAAGGCACAAAATGCACTTAATGAATGGGAATCTCATGAACCAACGATCATCAAAGCCTTCTACAAAACAAAGAACGAGGGCATTACAATGAACGTCATCCAATGATATGCGCCTACCAACGACCACGATGAAGACGCTAAAGACCAATTTTACGATAGGCTGCAGTCGATCGTCGAGAAGTGCCCAACAAAGAACCTGACCATCCTGATGGGAGATTTCAATGCCAAGGTTGGAATGAACAACACTGGATACGAAGACGTCATGGGACAACATGGACTGACTGGGAGAATAGAACGAAAATGGTGGGATATTTGCAAACCTATGTGCATTCAATAAACTGGTCATAGGCGGCATTATATTCCCACATAAACGCATTCACAAAACCATATGGACTTCACCTGATCACAATATACAGAACCAAATCCAACATATCTGCATCAAAAATGTTGAAGAGGAGGATGGAGGATGTGAGAACCAGGAGAGGAGCTGATATAGAACCAGATCATCACTCGCTGGTTGACAAGATAAAACCATACTTTAGAAGCATTGGACAATGGCGCGGACAACATCACAAAAGTTTAATACGGCCTTTCTTCGGGATCCTGACAAACTCAACAAATGCAAGATAGCCCTCAACAATAAGTTCCAGGAGTTTCATGATCTACTCAATGGAGAGGGAACTACCATGGAGAGCAACTGGAAAGGT